GGAAAAAAGACGTTTATATGCACCTTATAGTCATGAAAATACGGTAAATTGGTGAAATACCAGGCAACATCTTCATAATGTGCTTTTTGCTCTTAGTAACAACAACAACCTGATCATTTGAAAATACTATACATACAAGTATGTATACACACACTGACTTTGACAGTGAAATTATCTGTCTTCCCACAGCCGGCAAACTGCTTGCTTTTGCAGCCAAATGCTACACATGTAGACATTTTATTGCACTTGTCCGTGGCAGTTGGGAGTTATAGCATGGTAGACGGTGTCTTAATTTTTTTCAGGGATTCAGCAATCGAGTGAAAATTTAAAGATCAGTGATCCTAAAGGACTGGAGTTTTAGACCAGACATAAAAGTTGTACGCCTTCGCAATCTGCTGGCAGTGCTTTACCCACACCGCACCTTTAGTTGATGCTGATATTCATATTACTGCCCCTGGCAAAAAATTTGGAATTACTGGTCTAGGCGGATAAAAACAAAAAGGAGGCCACAGACATGACGCAAAACTGAAGTAATTTCAAATGGAAACACTGAAAGAAATTATGAAAAAAATGTGGTAGTCAGTAACAGCTACTTCCTTAGAGCAAGCAGAGGAAAAAAATTATGGAATCACTCAATTCTGAGAGAAAAAGTTCTGGAATCATGAAAAATAGAATGCTCCAACACATCACTAGTATTTGGTTGCACCACCTCTGGTTTTTATAACAGCTTGCAGTCTCTGAGGCATGGCCTTAATGAGTGACAAACGGTACTCTTCATCAATCTGGCTCCAACTTTCGCTGATTGCTGATTCCAGGTCAGCTGTGCAGGTTGTAGCCTTTTCATTTACCTTTTTCTTTTATTTCCAAAGATTTTCAATTGGATTAAGATCCAGACTATTTGCAGGCCATGATATTGACCTTATATGTCCTTTTCAAGGAATGTTTTCACAGTTTTTGCTCTATGGCAAGATGGCATTATTATCTTGAAAGGTGATTTCATCATCCCCAAAAATCCTTTCAATAGGTGGGATATGAAAAGTGTTCAAAATATCGACGTAAACTTGTGCATTTATTGAAAGTATAATTATAGCCTGGTTCCTGTAGTTCATTGAAAATGATTTGGTTCTTATTTAGAGGTGTTCCTTTAAGACAAAATTTCAAATTTTGAGTCTTTAACATGTTTATTTCTAGATTTAGATATCTTAAATCAAGGAAAAATAATCCTGCTTTAAGGACATATAATTTGAATTGATTTGTTCTCGGTTGTAGACAACCTTTTTGTTTTATTTGTTTTTTGTAGGGCTGTTAATCCTCAGCTTGTTTTTCTCTTTCAGGTCACATCAGGTATGGTGATCAGCACCTTCTTGTCAGCACCAATCATGTACGTGTCAGCCTGGTTGCTGACCATCCCTTTAATGGACCCGGCCCCCCTGGTGGCGGAGCTCGAAAACGTCAGCTTCAACATCAGCATCATCAGCCTCATAGGACTGGTACGCGTTTTTTTTTATGCGCGGTAAAGGGCACTGGTATTTGAAAAAAGGGGAAACTCAGTTTGCGTTTGCCTTCCTCTCAGGTTTGGACCATTGCTGTGATGCTGCTTAGCAGGAAATTCAATCAGCTCCCTCATCTGTTCGTGTTAAATCTTTTCCTGGCTCAGGTCAGTCAAATCTGATGCTGCATCACACAACATATGTGGGTCACTTTGGTTTGTGCCGATTCTCTTAACCCTCTGCTTTATGCTGCAGTTTTTAGTCTGTGTTGGGATGATCCTCTGGAATTTCCTCGTGAAACAACAAGATAATCTCCTCAGCAAAATCCTCACATTCACTCTGCTGTATGGATCTCTGTACAGCACCTATATCTGGACAGGTTTGTAAATTTAAAAATTAAACCTATCAGTTCCTGTAAAGTAACTTAAACATTTTATTCTTCTTGCCCCCCCAAATCAGGATTAATCCCTCTCTGTCTGGCTCTGACTAACAGAGATGATCTGCTCAGACTCAGACCAGGAATCTTCATGGCCGTTGGCTGGGGGTAAGTATTCACCTACCTGGGAATGAAAGAGAAATAAGTTAGTGGATGCAATTTGGCAATAATCTGGTCTGGTTGCTGTTTTTGTGGTTGTAGGGTTCCCTTCGCCATGGTTGGAGTTCTCCTGATTGTAGGAGAAAGAACCGAAACCCTTGACTCTGCCTTCTTCTACGGAAAAGCTCAGGTTTGGATGGATGGCAGCTCCTCTAATACTTTTTAACATTTTGGAGATGCACTGATCTAGATTCTGTGGATGATTTCTGATCTCCAGTTTCTGTGGAGCTTCCGTGTCTGTCCACTTCTGATTTACCTTTAAATACTGAAATGGCAAAGTATTGCCTTGTAGCGGCCTTGGTCTTAGCTTTAGCTTGTGTCTTCCGTAAGTAAAAAATCCGATCGTCCACATTAAGATGGAAGGATGTTGGATCTTTTAATGGGGTCCAGGTTGAGGAGATTGTTAAAGTTAAATCCACAGACAGGTCAACGTTTGCAAAAAGCCAGCAGTTTGATTCAGCTTCAGTTTAAACACCTGTTTGATAAAAATGAATAACCACCAGGCCACATCCAAACTCACCTAAATAAATGGGATTAAGCAGACTAAAAAGCATCTAAAATAAGAAGTGTAAATGAGAAAACAGATCCTGAATTGTAACTACATGTGGAAATTTAAAGAAAACACAAAAATGAAATGTACAACAATGTCTAAAACTCTAAAGTAGAAAGAAAATTATACATGCGTTTTTTAATTTATATTTCTTTTGCTAAAGAAGCCCAATCCTTTTTCTTTTGATCTTTTCTTCATAACGGAGGTGATGTTCATATTGCATCTTTTGCCAACTAATAGATTGACCCAGAGATGTTTCTCTGCTCCTCCTGCAGTTGCAGTAAGATTGCTAAGCACTGTTTCACAAAATATTGCTATTATGGGATAGAGGAAAAAAAAAAGAAACACTCTGACAGACCAGGGTCAAATGTGTTTACCTGTCTGTCACGTTGAGTCCTTGACCCGGCATTTAAAGGGGGCGGGCTTCACGTTTGACTGCGATTTTCTCACATATAAGTGCGAATACAGAGGTAAATGTGTTTTAAACAGGCTGTTACACTCAATAAAAGTCAGTCTGTCTGCCTAATTCCAGTGAAAATTCGTCAACTTTCAGCATAGCCAGCGTTTGTGCAGAAATGTTCTGCAGAGAGAGAGAGAGGAGCCCAGATGTCGCTCAGATAAAGTCCACCTGTGTGTAATCTAATTGAGTTTAAATCCAGATGTTATACTGGGAAGCAAACAGCATCTTGAAGTCCAAGGAACACAGCAGACAGGTCAGGATTAAAGTGGTAGAGACGTTTAAATCAGGCTTAGGTTATAGAAAGATTTAAAGGAGTTTCCTTAAAGCATGCTCAGTAATTTGGGTTTCTTCTTCTTTGACAGCTGCTTGTGACTTTTACCACATTTCTAAACCGTGATCAATTGTGTCGCAGACTAGACTAGAAATGCCGGTTGACCTTTTTACTGACCCGCCTTCAGATTGGCCAGAAGGCTGCAGAGAGGCTGAGATAACTCCAGCCAGGTCTCTGAGGTCTTTGGTTAAACTCATTTTAACATCTTCAGAGAGTGGTTTTAAATACTTTGTTCTCTGTGGGGCTCTTGGTGAAGTTTATCTGTGGTGTTTGTTGTTTTTACTCAGATAATCAGCTCTGCTGTGGTTCTGGCTGTAAGCCTGGCCCTCGGTGCCATTTCTCTGATGGGTCTGAGCCAGGGAGACCGGGAGCAGATCGGCTATGAAGCCTTGAGTCGAGCAGCTGTCACAGGCATCTGTGATGAACCGAGGCCCCCTGGTGGCCTGGAAGATCAACAGCAGCAGACAGACCTGACCAATTCCTCCACCTGCCACTCTGGTAGCTCTGTTCTCTATTTATTTCTTTGATTTTCTCTCTGACTTTTTACCTAATGGTGTCTTTTTACTCTCTTTTTTGTCTTGTTGAGATTTCAACAACATTTCTCCGCTCCAGACCATACCTGACATGATCGCCAGCACTCAAAGGGAAAATGCAAACAGCACAGGTAACTTAGATCATAACAGCATGAACTAGAAGCTGAAAGAGTCTGCATTCAGGCAGGTGTGAAGGGAGGAATATCTTTATTTTTGTTTTCTTTTGTAATAATCATGAGAGGGATAAAATAAGCAGCTAATAAACTTTTTGTTTAGTCCTCGTTTTTAATTCTGCCTTCTTGCTTTAGGCCACAGTGAGTCGATGTGTGATGGACAGCTATCCAGCTCGGGGCCTTCAGAGCAGCCTCTGGATCTGCCTCCACCTGGCCTTCAGAGCACTGATGACCAACAGACTGTGAGACACGTTTTGCTCTGTCTGCTGCTCAGCGTCAGCCTGCTGGCGGTGAGGAAACCAGAAGAGATTAGCATTTCACAGACAGGCTTGTGCTGTGATCAGCTGAAGGAAAGATGGATTGTCTGATTGTGATGTCTGTACAGAATCTGTCCAGCTGTCTTTGGTGGTTGTTCAACAAGGATCCAGGCCGTCTCTACCTGGAGCTGCAGTTTTTCTGTGCGGTAGCCAACTATGGGCAGGTAGCTGAACCCGATGATCCTTTCCCTTCTTGCAGGGAGAACATGTAATATAGCTCCTTCCCTGTGTTTCCCAGGGTTTCCTTTCATTTGGGATCTTTGGTCTGGACAGACACCTGATCATACTACCATTCAAGAAAAGGTAGGCTGAGTCTTCAGCCATTGCTGTCTGACACGATTGGAGAACTAACCCTGAATTATTGTCCAGGTTTCTCAGCCTGTGGCACGGCAGAGACGGAGAGGATCTGAGTCAATCCGCCGTCCCCGAGGAGGTCCGCCTGACCTGCACCCAGTTTGTCCGCTACCACAAAGACCAGTGTGTGCAAGATATAGTACACACTCGCAGGTATGAGGAAATCTGTGCCCAGGCTTAGTCAAGAGAGAGGATATCTGTCCGCTTTTTCTACTGGCCAGTGTTCTGTCAGATGAGCATACCCATAGTCAATACGCATGCACAATACGTCAGATTTGCGTTTATAGCTGTATTGTTGTACTTTAAACTACCTCAACGGGCATGTATCCCTTTAGTCATGCAAAAAAAAAAAGCAGTTTAAGTTCATACACTTTAAAAAAACACCAAAAAGTAAGTAAATAAATAAATTTTTGTGCATGACTAAAGGGTTACACGGACGTTATTCGAGTTTGAATTTTATTTTACGTACAAAAATAAACAGAAGGGATAAACAGGGATAAACTAAAGGGATAAACAGGTATTGACTATGGGTTTGCTGGTCTGACCGCTCATCTGACAGAACACCGGAAAACCCATTTAAACCCGGGAACAATCAACTTTTAATGGCAGAGGAAACAGCTCACTGACGCGTGTCTACCCGGGTCAAACGACTCGGCTCGGGACCAACGTTAAAATCACCCCGGCTCTGATCAGCATGCTGGGAGAACACCAGATCCGGGTTGACCCGCTTAATTAAGTGACACCATTGAACGCAACATACGGACGTCAACACACCGCGCCACTTGCTTCTGATCTAGCAAGCCGAAACAATTTGATAAACATGGAGCAGCACTGGTGGGAGGGAGTCAGACAGATAAAAGAGCAAAATAATAATATAAAGTCCATGTTGCTCTCCTTTATTCACTTCCCTGACATACGTTCATACTGTCGACATCAACAACACTTGCCCAGCGTGTTAGCATCATCAGACGTTTAGTGGTGGAGGGACAGGGGCCACAGCTTTCCAACATGGGGTCAGACTCGGCTTTTCAGTCAAATGGGAAAGGAGCCAAAAGTGGATTGTAAGCAGGTCAACCGGGTTTTGAAAAACGGTGGGAAAGCAGCTCAAGTGTCCTTTATATTTAGCCAGTGAGACCTTTTGGTGAAAGTTTTTCTGTTGTGTCTTTACCGGCTTTGAAAATGTTGACATCTTTCCTTTTCTTCTCTCCCAATACTGATCCCCCGTTATAGTTCTAAGTCTGGACTTTGACTAGGCCAGATTTAGAAATAGGTTTGATTTCCACTAGTAACCCTGAGAGTTTGGGGTTGTAAGGCTGGAAGGTTCTGGCTCACGTCTCTTTTACTTCTTACTGGGTTTCTTTTCTAATTCCTCCCTAATTTTGCTCCATCTTACTTGCTATCAATTCTGGCCAGCTTCATGTTAAGCTGTTAATATCGGCCTGAAAGTCCCACATTTGTCCTTTTTGTCCACAGACCCTTCTTCAGGATGTTTACTTTGACTTCTACCTGGCTTTCTGCTCACTTTAGGGCCGAATCAATGAATTATGTATCAAAATAATCATCAACTAATTTGGTAATCTAATCGTTACAGAATATGACCGGTCTTTTCCTTTAAAAACATGATATTTCCTAAAATAATAACCACATTTTATCAGTGTTTAAGACAAAACTCTACAAATATGAACTATAGGAGTGTAAGAAAGAAATAGTTTGGTCAAATATTGTGCTATTTTTATTTTATTCAATCCATTCAAAATATGTCAGAAAGGATCTTAAATGCAAAAAAGTATTTATAGCCTAACATCCAGCTGATAGGTGGCAACAAACCACCCATGTTTCAGCCAGTTTCCAGAGCAATATATAAAAAAACACCAGATGTCTCGTTTGTTAATGTATCAGGATAAATCGTACTGTGAAATTCTTGCTAAGTCACACCCCTAAAGAACTACAAACATAAAATATAAACAATTTTTTTCTTTAAAGATTACATTTTTTTTCTTTATACATATATAATAAAAATTATATAAATAAAAATATTTAAAAAAAATGCATGTATACTTGTATATTTTTATATCTTTTGCCATTTGCATTTCATAAAAAAAATAATAAATTAATTAAAGGATCAGGACCTGCAGTGTGTTTTTGCAGCTTTACGTCAAGGTCTATTATGTGTAATAGCTGACTCCTTTTTAAATAAAAAAAATTAGCGGATAAAAATTACCTAGTAGAAGTGCTTTACTTTGCTCCTTTATTCACCTGGAATAATTAACCTTATTATTGTAATTAAATTCTATTTCAAATTGGCATCAATTCATTAGATAATCTGAAAACTGTGATATTCACTATTACAGATTTGTTTTGGGAAAAGTCAAACTCGGAGCAGTAATTAGAAAATGTTTAAACATTCTGCTTTTATTATGTAAAAATCCCTATTTCTGTATAAATCCTCTATCCTGAACTTCTTATTGAACCAGTTTTAGCTTCAGATTCAAATTCTGTTCAAAGAAATCCGATGAAGAATCTTTGCTACCTGTTGGTTGATTAAACCAAAAAAATAATCAAGTAAAACAAGCGTTAGTTGCAGCCTTTCATCTTCTGACTTTTCTCTGGTGAAGCTGCATGAATCTTCCAGTTTCCCCATATTTAGCCTGTAAACGGGTTAAATATGGATCCTTTTACACTCCGCTGAAAAACAGCTTTGGCACCACATTTATGACTCTTGGCCGTGACTCTACTTTTCTTCTTTCACCTTTTACCTCCAAGGAACTAATCCTTTGCTTGCTCTGTCTCTGCCCTCTTTCCTTTGCTCCATCGACTGCCTCCTGTTTCCCCTCCTCTCCATCACATCATAGTGCCTCTGGGGAGAGTGTAAACGCTTCGGCAGGTGAATCCTTCCTCTGATTGTCACAGGTTTGGAGGACTGACCCAGGAGGAGACGGCGGTTGGACGTTGCCTTTCCCATCATCCCCAGTATTTAATAACAAACCCCTCTGATCAGGATCAAAGACTTAATGAGTCACAGAATCTACACCAAAATCCCCATCCAGATGAATCACGCAAACAGACCTCGCTGCCTTCCTACCAGGAGGCTCAGGATGAACACCAAGGATACGTTTCTGCCCCTCCGCTACATCTTGAAAGCGTCTTTCTTGGCAGTGACTTGGTCGACTGGCTAATAGAGCGCGGTCTGTGTGCTGGGCAGACCGAGGCCAGGCTTTACGGCGTTCGTCTTCAGCGGGGGGGAGTGCTGAGCCCCCTGGACGGCCAGCAGAACTTCAGGGATGAGCCCACTCTGTTTTATCACTTCACACAGGAGGACAGATGGTCCAGGAGCACGTGAGAGGAAGCGACAACCGTAAAGGCGCCAAGCTGGAAGTGCCTTATGGTGAAGTTATTGCTACAGCTTGGTTGTCATGGCTCCCAAAGACTGCCGAATTAGGGGCTGAATTCATTTCAAATAAATAAAAATGAATGCATAAAGATACAGAGAGAATTTCCCGACTGCCGAAACTCAATATCCAGTCATTTTCTAAACAGCGAATGCACCCTGGCTAAGCACAACCACAGTGAGTTCAAAACACTCTTCAGCGTGGAGGCTGTTACTGAGAGAGGCAGCGCTAAAATTAGCTACAGGTCGACCAGAATCGAGAGGCTGTTTCTCGCTCTCACAGCTGAGAAAAATAAAGTTATTTTATTCTCTCAGTGCCGTCGGTTCTGACGGCTTCTTCTAAACACATCGTCTACGCAGAATTTGGAGAATAGTTTTAAGGGTTGGTCAGGACTGTTTAGTAGGAAATATTGCCCCTTATTTCAGGTGTGTAAATTCTTACACTGATCTGTTACTATAATGCAGTGTTTTTCAAGCCTGGTCCTCAAGGCACCCTGCTCTGCATGTTTTGGATGTTTCTGAGGTTCAGCACACCTGATTCAGATGATTGCAGTTCAGCAAAGCCTGATAATCTGCTATCAATTGATAACAGGTGTGTGAAAGCTGGGAAACATCTAAAACATGCAGAGCAAGGTGCCTTGAGGACCAGGATTAAAAAACACTGCTACAACGGACGGTCCGCTGAGCATCATTTTGCTCTTTTTCAATTTGAAGAATACTGTCTCTTCCTTTGTGTTGCATTTCTTTAGCGGTTAAACAAAAGTGAATGCGGCTCTCCATGAGTCTGGCTACAAAGTGTACATCTTTGGTTCTCGTTCCTGGCACAGTGAGAACAAGAACATCTTATTTGGTTCATGCACAGTTTGTAGCGAGCTTATGTCTAGTGTCAGTGAAGTGGTTTAAAAAGTCCAATTGAGATGTAAGAAGGTATTTATTAATGGTCTCATAAGAGCTACAACAGATATGTGGTTCATAGAGAAAAAGCAGAGTCATGTCTGTTTTATTGGCTAACAAAGCTTGTTAGCTTAGTTAGCGCTTAATTTAAGGAGAGCTCAGAATGCTGTAAAGCGGCACTTAGGGTCACATGACTCATTCAGTGATTCATCCGACTCTCCTTAGTTACGTAGGCGTGTTTTTAAGAAGAGAAGCTGACATGAATCATCTCTGCGTTCCAATTTCTGAATATTGATCTGAAAACTTCAAATATCCCAAAATAGGTTAATAGGTGACTCAGAAGTTTCAGTGTTGCCATAAACAGGCTTCTGTTTCATACCAGCTGCCTCTATTGCTACGTTCAGACCGCATGCTGCAGGAGCAGCAGAAGCAGCTAGTTTACATGCAAAGTCAATGTTTGACACACATCAAGGCGCAGCAAAAGGTCCTGCAGAGCGTTTTGAGCAGCCAAAATGCGAGTTTCTCAACATCTGACGCATGAAGCAGCAGCTGCTGGAGGAAAAATTGAACTTTTTCTGCTCGACGCGCCGCATCAACCAATCAGAGAAGCTTATCTGGGAGCTGGCAGGGATGATGCATAGCGCTATATAGCAGTTTAATAATGCTTAAATTAACTTAAAATGTCGAAACCTGACGACAAATTATGTTTGTTTTTATAATTCTGGTGCCTGCAGTTTGGATTATGTACGTGAAAAACGCTAATTCCAGCCGCCGTGAACAGTAGGGGAAAACTGAAAAGAGGCGACCGGGCCAGAGGCTGCCGTTGAATGGGATTCGTACTTGACAGCGCACCGCCGGTGTACGGGGACCTAAGCGGCTCTGACAGCTAAATCATATTTGAAGGCAGGATGGTAATGTAGATGAACTGATTGCACAGATGAAGCTTCAGGTGGACTTTCCCACTTAAAAACATTAAAACTACTTTTTACGCACTGATCACAGAAAATATAGCTGCCGTTGTTACAGGCAAAGAAAGGATAGGGGAGCTCTGCCCAACACGCATCAGACCCACCTTTCGTCCGAACAGCTAGAGCATCAAAAATGAAGCAGGACACGCGTTTTTGCTGCTTCTGCTGCGTACGTTCTGAACTTAGCATATCACTTATATTTTAGGCAGCTTAAATGGCTAAACTTTGAGTGGTTTCCAACGTTGGGGGCTCTCCCCCTAGGGAGGACGCTGTGTAATAACAGGGGAAAACATGGGAGAAATGAATCAAATAAATGACCCATGTTGATAGGTATTCAGGAAAACGGTATGTTTCTAGACGGTTCTCCTGTAGGACAAGCCTTGGTGAATGGTCTGAAGATGTAAAACTTATATATCTATTACATTTTTCACCTTTAGAGTTTTATTTCATCAATAATTTTGAAACAAATGAGTTGCACATTTAGTTTCAGTCATGACAGGATCAGAGATTTCATCTGCTGTATCTGGAGCCTCCAAAGCTGTAAATTACAAATTTGTATGAGGTCTCTCCTAACATAACAAACATTATTTTTTTTCTCTCATTTGGGTCTGTCTCCATGAAAAAAAACACTGTCCCGGATTTTTTACCAAAGCAAAGTGAGGCGTAGAAATAAAAGTTTTGGACCCCCTGTCCTAGAGCTACTCCTCTAGCACACATTGTATGACGCTCAGTGGTGGTTCTAGACCAAATGTATCAGGGGGCCGGGAGGGGGCCAGCGTGTTTTCATGGGGGCACAGAAAAGCATTAAACAAAAAACAGGGCATGGGATTCAAATGTATCAAGATAGCTACATGAAGTTAGATTACCATTCGATTAGGTTTAATTAAAATTCTGTCTTCCAACTGAAAATATTTATTTTTGGCTTGAAAATGTTCATTTGGATTATCGTTAAAATAAAAATCTCTTAGCTAAAAAAAAATATCTAAAAGATCAAATTAAGCTTTTATTTTGAATATTAGGTCAATATACATTCATAATTTAGGAATTTTACGTATTTTTCACTTAGTTTAAGTTAAAATTATACTTTTCTATAAAATTTCTTTTAGTATTATGTCTGCGGTACAGGGACCATAACAGGGGCCAGGACATGATCTAAAGGGACACTGGCCCCTGTTGGCCCCTTTCTCAAACCGCCCATGATGAAGCTGCCTCTGCTGTTCATATAATTAATTACTGAGTTATCACAGATGGAACGCTAGAAAAAAGAAATGGAAATGCTGTTTGTGTATCTTTCCCTATTTGTTTCTAAAGAAAGCTAGAATATTCAGATGGATTATTGGCTAAAGAAGCTTTAGCATGCCAAAGTTTGACTAAAAATGCAGTCTGGAAGTGATGCCTGATTAGATTAGGGTTTTTTTTTTGTTGAGTGATTTAAAACAGAAGAGTTAGAATTAAGGAAGAAATGTCACCTTCAGGTCCTGGACCTCTATTTAAGTTCTTACCCCATTTGAACAGCTCTAATGAATGAGACTTCTGTTATAAGCTGCTGATTTCTTCAGTTGTTAGTCTGTAAACAAAGGGCTGGTGACCATCAATCAGCTTCATCCTCCGGTTTGATGGGAGAACAAACAGATCTCTGACTTAAAATCTGTCCAAGGATCCTGCAAACTTTTTAATTTGTTTCAGGTGGGCTTAAAAAAAAAAAAGAAAAGAAAAAAACCTCCTCTTCCTGTGCTTCCTGTGAAACCAGAACATTATTTTGCACGCTATCCCAGTTTGTGCTGACATAATGCATGACTGAACCATTTGCACTGAGAAAATGTGAAAAACATAAATGCCACTGGACATTTTGCTTCGAGTGTTTGTCGGCTGGATGTTAATTTCTGTAACCTTTGTAACCATTACCTGTTGTTGTAAAACGTTTTGTTTAAAGCTGTTTTTCTTCAGTAGTTTTTTTTTTTACTGAATAGATACATTTCTAAGAAGTTTACACAGAGAAAAAGCACATTTCAGGAGTTGTTTGCACTTTCAGGGCCAAAACTCAGCCATGATAAAAACTCTGTTTTGCTGTGTTTTGCAAAACGCCTCCTTACTTCTTTTTACAACACATTGTTGGTTTGTTTACAGTTTATAGACTTGGTGATAAATGCATGTTTAAAACTCCTCATTAATGTCAAACTGATGTGATTATAGTGTGAATGAGATCGGTCCACAGTAATTGACACATAAGTGGAATAATTAGCCCACTGTGATAGTTAACAGCCTGGAAATAAACCAAGATGTCATCCTTCCTCCTTACAGCCAGTGGGGGTGCTAGTTCATTAAAAAAATTAAATAACTGCTCTGACAGTAGATTTTTGCCTTTTCTGACTTAATTGATTAATTTATGTTCTCTTATTCTCACTTTTTAAAATTTTCCTTCGACAAACAGGCCTTTGTAACCCATTGTTTTACTCTGGGTGTAACAATAAACAGATTCATAACGATAACACCGATAAACAAATCGATTGATCGATGCAAAGACAAAATCTCGATCCACATCGCCATCTTCAGGACTACTAGTGTCACAAAACAAGTTTTTCATTTCCAATACGATAGCAATAGTGCACCTTTCAGTAATGACCGATACTGATATTAACCCGATTTATCAGTAAAACCACACATTCTTGTCTCGCTGTGAGAAATGTTAGAAAAGGCTCAACAGAAATTGTTCCACTGGAGAACAATAGTCACAATCAATAGGAAAGACCTATTCATGACCTATTTATTATTGGTTATAAAAACTTAAAATAGAAGCAGTTTGCCAACATTATACATTTTAGATGAATGCTAATTAATTTAGAAATCTATTTTTCAGATATATTCTTCTATCGACCTGGGATCGGGCCATCCCTATTTAGGGTACGCTCTCTACAGTCAGAATGGAGATGTGATCTTTTTTTTATTGCGTCTTTTATTAATTAGGTTTCTTTGAGACTATTTAGTTTTTGTATTTAATATGCATCATGTTGATCTTAGACGTACTAATTAAATTGTATCGATATCGTACGCTGACAGACTGAGTGATATCCATAAATATCAAATTGTCACCCAAATAAATGAATAGATATTGTCCTATCAAAGTGAAGCTGGTAATTTAAACCCCCTGTGATGGAGGGGTCAGGTTTTTCCAGGCACCGTTTATGTTGGGTCACCTTATGCCCGAAAAAAAACATTTTTCCTTGTTTTATCAGAGAGCCTTTGAACTTTAAGCTGCTTATATAGATATTTCCTTTATTTTATGATAAAATATTTATCTTTCCAAATAACACCCATTTCATCCAGGATCTTGTATTTCTCCAGTGGAATCGGCGCATCACTACTATGGATAATATAAATTATAGTTAATCAAAATTCACTCAAAAAATAAAATAAAACAAGGGTTAAAAATTAGAAATATTCAGCGATGACTTTTCCACTGCTTCTTTATTCATTTTTTTTATTCTTAAATGTTTTATTTTAAAACCTTTAACTGGACTTTTTGAAGGATATCTCCTCTGTTACCATGACGATTTTCTACAAGAGTGTTTTCATTTCAAACCACAGCTGAGTTTCACTAATCAGGCTGCTGTTTTATCTGAGTTTACATTTTTTATTTCTGTGTAGTGACTTGTTGTTTAATCAGTGCCTGCCTCTGACACCCTGAAGCGGAGTGTGTGTTAGCATGACCGATTCTAGCGGTATATGCTGTGTGTTTGGGTGCAAAGAGGAGTCTTTCATTCTGTGTGTGACTGGTTAACGGGATAAATATCAACCTGGATGTTTGCTGTATTTTCTCATTAGTCCATCAGGGTGAATAACAGCAGGATTTTGAAATATAAAGAAACCAATAAAATAAGTTGCATCCTAAATGTCTCTCCTTCACTTTCTCAGATTGATTAAAACAATTATGAGGGGATTTTGTTATCATTATTATTGCAAAGAAACACTTTAGGTAAAGGAAATTAACTAAAAAGAAGACTCTGAAATAAAACGTCTTAATTAAAAAAAGGTTTTGAGTTGCTTTATTTTCAAGTATCATTTTGCAGATCATATTCTCTTCACTTATCAGGGGGCTTTCCTTGGGACTGAGAAATTAAGATGCATTTTATTGGTCTGTATGGACTTTATGGAAGTGAAGAGAACCTGGTCGGTAAAATCCATTTGAAAAAAAAAATTTAATAATAATAATAACAAAAAAGAATTTAGATGGAAAAAAGCAAACATGGAACTTTAGGCAACAGCATATTTCTTTCAAAACCTTTCTTGATTTGAACATTTTTCAAAGTTTAATACCTGGATTTCATTTTTTTCTCAAAATTTCCACTTTCAAAACATGTTTTTTACGTGCAACAGTAATGAAACAAAATTCACTCCATTTTCTACTAAGAAACACATTTATTGAACATGTTATTTTATTTTCTACTGAAATCAGACTTCATTGTGCATTGAAAACACTTTGAATTTCCCATTTTTGCTCAAAACAGGGTCATAATTTCAAACAGACATAAAGCTTTCTTTAAACTAAAACAACATATTCCCAAAAACACAGGATTAATAAGACTGATTTCTGGTTCTTCAAAAAAAGTGCTTTTTACATTTTTACTTTTGTTTCTGAAGCCTCAGAGATTTTAATGTGGGCTTATTTATTCTTTGCACATTGTGGAACAAAAGAAAACAAAGCTCACATTTTGTGTTACATGAAATTTAGATCGGAAAGATGACAGAAGTTTAACTTAGAGTTAATCACAGATGAATCTATTCATTTAATGACATATTAAAATATGTTAAACAGATGGAAAATAGAAAATCTATGTAATAGAAAAGTGCAATAAAGATCTGCATGTACCTAAGAAGACATGAGAATCCCAAACCTGTGTGAAGCACTGAAGCTCAGTGTGGACATAACACAATGGATTTCATTGGGAACCAGCTGTATATGAGCAGAAATTGATCAATGAGCATAAATTCATTATCAAAACAACTTTAAAAAGAACACTGCATTCTAATATGATCCCTGGGATCATCATCATATTCATTTCTGGCCTGGAACCTTGTTGAACCTCCCTAGAAGAAGCTGGGGAGTGTTTTAGGGAGAGGGATGCCTGTTCTTTTAACCACGCACTGGAAAACAGTACAATTAAAGGTTGGAACACTAGTGGGCAAGAAGAAAATAAAGCTTGTAGCTATCTCCTTTAAAAAAAAAAATATTTGAGCAAAACACAACATTCATGTCTACAGTTCAGATAGTTCCAGGCCACAAATCTCTGTGATTTCCTGACTCATTCACCAGTGAACACAGTTATAGGTACTGTACATTAAGACACGTTTATAAGAAAAAAGGACATATTAGATATGTAAACATACCAAACAGCTCTACAATAAAGTTTAGGTAGCTGCAGTGACTGCTATCAGGCAGTAAATATTAGTGCTGCAGTAAGTATTGGCGAGTACCGACAATTAGGGCAGCGATACCCTTTAGAGAGCCAAAAGTTTATTCAACTATTGTCACCATTCCAGGTAGGCAATAAAAAGTTCTACTGGATTCACTTTGTATTAGTCTCAAGCTATGATGGCAATTATTTTACATCCAAGCATTATGCAGTTCTTAATATATACACACACATCATTTAAACAGATGGCATCGGCCAATACTGCACAGCCAGGTATCAGGTATCGGCGCAACACTAGTAAATATCAACATGGTTAGCTTCAGAAAGAGTGCAATAGTAGTGTACTTGTAGGCTTTAAACAAAACATTAAACCAGTAAAGTGGTTATTTAGATATTTGGAGGTTATCTAATCAATCTTACATTGTTTCATTTGGCTGTAACATTGTTAAGGGCGTTCAGATATTTAGTTTTCTTTGCTCGTATTTATTATGGCTGTTATTAAATGCATTAACAGAGTATCTCTTAAAAGTCCTGAATATACAATCCTACACATGTTTTCCTTTATTTTAAAATTCAACTGGATCCATTGACTATCTGCCTGAACAATCCACTCAACTAGAGATTGGCATGAAGTCGGTGCTCGTCTGCCTGGCTGTGTGTTTCCTGGATGGGGCTGCCTGTGGAGCTGGTTGAGGGTGGCCTTTTGAATCTCTGCTTCTTTTTCTATGTCTGCTTTCATCTATTTGAATCCCAGTCGGCCTCAGCAGATGGCCGCTCACACTGAGCCTGGTTCTGCTGGAGGTTTCTTCCTGTTAAAAGGGAGTTTTTCCTCTCCTGGATGGAAAATATTGAGAAGAATAGTCTCCCTAAACTGAAACAGAACAGTGTTCTCTTATTTCAACCTTTCTGTAAAAGACAATGTCCCTAATGAATGTATTGTTCCTGCACAAGGTGGCTTATTAGTGAAACTGATTTTATATCAGGATGAACTTCTGAATAAAACAGGCTGTTTTAGGCTGTTCTCCACAATAAAATGACTGTTGAGGCAGCCTGGCGCCTCCTTTGGAGTTTTTCCGGGTATGTCCCCCTGGGGACCCCAGGAAAAACTCAGAACTCACTGGGGGAACTAAATTTATCCTGTCAAGCATGGGAACACCTTAAGACCTTCCAGAGCAGGCTCCATGGTGGCGCTGCTGTAAGAGATGCATTCCTTCAGGACCTGATAACGGATTCTCATTTCCACACCAAGACTAAATTAGGTTTAACATGTTTAGGTGGACTATTTATTAGTGAAAGTAAAAGTTTGAGAGAAAAAAAGATGATGGCACACCTTTTTTTAAATTTTTTTTTATCATTAGACATTATTTAAGCTTCTGACCCCCCCGTCATAAAACCCAAACAGATATGCACCCTCTATCTTTAACGGCTCTGGAGTGCAACTTAATCGACTCTGTGGTTATTCTGCACAGTAAAGGTTTTTTAAGCAATCTCTTATTTCATTCCAATAATGTAACCTTAGGTATCTTTAGCAATCTACTTGTTTGGATGATGCAATTCATGGAAAATTTAAAGAAACTCCAAAACGCAAATCGATATTTTACATTAAGACTGGTCAATCAATAACCTATAGGCTCTATACTTACTGTAAGGTGTTTTTTTTTTTTTTTTTTTTTTTTTTTTACACAAGTGGCTGTATAGATAGTTATAATCCATTTTACATTGCTTTAAGGAAAAAAAGAGTCTTAATAATGCAATTTGATGGTTTGTTTAAATGAGAAATTTATATTTAGGAAAAAAAAAATAGTCATGTGAAGTACAAGATGAACAATTATAGCTCCTAAATGCTTAACAAAATTCTATATAGTATTATATATACT